ATCTCCCACAATTCACTGCATCATCTATTTTTATCCCAAACCACTGGGGCTTGAAATGTTGCATCAATGGGAGCGGTGCAGTACAGCGTTATGAATCAGCAGGACAGTACATTGAAGATTTTTCATTCTCCCTCCAGTCATAAGGAAGTAACGCTCATGCAGATGTGTCTCTATTCTATCCTACTTGTTTGAGGGATATAAAGAGTGTACAGTTTGGAGAGTGTGTGCTTCCAGCCTTGCATTATGCTTTTTCATTATCACTGTCATCTTTTTTTTCTCTGTTAGCTGAGGAGACATCACAACTGGGACAAAAAGCTTATTTGGAGTGCAGCCATTTTGAGGAATGAGGTCCTGTCCTGAGATGCAGGGAGATGTACACTTTTTGGCTTGTCGACATTATGGATGTCATCTATTTATTTCAGTGTCCACAAATTGTCTGATTCTACTCTGGCCCGCAGTGCTCAAGATAAGCTCGGCACAGAGAGGCAGCGCAGGGCTAATGTGATTCCAGAGATGAGCATCCTTTTCAGTGACACTGATGGCTTTGGTACTGTTGGTGAAATCAGTAATCATCATGTGATGTTATATTTGTCAGTGTTTAGATAGTTTGGACTTTCAGCTTAACTGACCTCAATCTCGCCGTTTCTTGATGCACAGTGCCGAAATTTGCATTCATGGTATCTACTGTGTCACATGTGCAGATTTACTTTGCTACTATAGAATGTGTATAAATTACATTTGTGTTGTGATAGGAAAATTGATCAAATACCTCTGGTGTGTTGAGTCCCATCATCTTAGATCAGGTTTCTCTTCTTCATTTCTACACTTTGTCCCTGTTTTGCAGTAATACACTTATAAACACAAGTTTAGATTTAATTAGAAGTGGACATTTGTGCCAAATTTGAGGAAAATCCCTCAAGGTGTTCCTGAGATATGTCCATAAAAATGGGATGAACACAAGGCCGCATTGACCTTGGCCTTTGACCTCTTACCATCAAAATCTATTCTGTTCATCCTTGAATTCAAGTGGAAAAATGTGAAGAAAGTCCTTCAAGCCATATATCATGTTCACAAGAATGGGCTGGGCAGATAAAAACATAATACCTCAGGCCACGGCTATCACCAGCACTAAGGCTTAAAAATATCATAATTTTTCATCCTAATTTTCTTTTTTTTTTTTTGGTAGCAAAGATGCACTTCCTATGGGCTGATAGTATTTATCATTTGGGCCCCTTAGTTCTATTTGGCTCAGTAGTCAGGATCTATAACACAGGAATAACAGCATTTCTCCACATGGTGTCATATTCATCCTTGTGTGCATGTACAGTAGTATGTGCAGAAGCTCTCTATTCGTCTTCCCACTTACCTTTTGCTGCGACCCAGTGTAGGTCTGTAACCCAGGGACACTGGATAACTGTACTGGTATTAAAATAGCAAACAGGGAGAACAGGGCATGTTATGAGATTCACTAGTTTGATGTCTCCCTGGGTAAAGCTATAAATAGCCTCTCACACTGGAATAGAGATTTCCCCAGCGATGAGGATGAAATCCAGGGGAACAGCTGTGTTAAAGCCAAGTCCTGTTAGATCAGCGGAGTCACATGGGCATGCTTCTGTCTCTCTTGACTTTTCTTTTTGTCTCTCTCTGTCTCTGGTCTCATGCTTTCACTTCTCATTTCTCATGCACCTGATTTGTCCTGCTGTCTGTCTTTCACCCAGTTGTTTATCTCCCTGTCTTGCAGTATCTTTCTCTTTTCCCCTGTCTCTGTCTCTCCTGTGTTTTCTCAGTGTCCTCTCTCTCCATGTCTTATTTGTTTCTCTCTGTCATTAACTCTGCCCCTTTGCTTTATTGTTCTGTTATTCTGTCATCTAACCTCCCTCTGACTTATTGTTTGACTGGGTGTCCTCCTTCTTCTCCCATAGCCTCTGTCTCTTTGTTCACATTGTATGCATTCCTCACTTCAGTCCCTTTTCGGTCTTCATATCTGTGTCGTGTTTTGTCAGTCTCTCTCTTGCTCATTATAACCAGGCCTCCCCTGTGTACTCTGTTAATTGGTACGACCCTGTCTTAATATAAAAATGTTTCTTGAAGTAGGAAGATGAACTACATACATTTTTAATAGAAAATTGAACAGGTGTTACATCGCCACTTGTTATACTAATACAAAGGGTCTATAATTTGCTAAATGCAAGACAGCTGAAATTTGGTCAGTTAGTAGAACATTATCATATTTCATACACTTACACAATCATTACTTTATTGAATACAGGAAATCAGGAAATCCAGTAGAATGCTCTGGTTACTGCTAAATCAGGAAATCCAGTAGATTGCTCTGGTTACTGCTAATGTGACACAAGGAATTAATGTTACACAAATAACTATATCACATGAATTCAATGCAAAGGTGAAATTCTAACCATGTTTGGATGCTAATATTACTGACAGTAACATGTTAGCTTTAGAAGCCACACCTGAATCAAACTTGAAGCCTTTGGCTGCTGTTACCACTCTCCATCTCAAAAAGCCAAACTGATGTTAATCCTGGTTTTTGCTCTTTTTGTCTCACTCTCTCTGTGCAAATCAATGCGACCACTTCGCTCTGGCAGCCCCTGTTTTGGACTCTTAGCTGCTGAGAGGTCCTATGTGGCCCGGTGTTTGAAGTGACACTTCTTATCACCTTTGCTAGCTGGCATTGGACTAATTTTGAAAACACACTTTAGAAAACAGCATAACAGCTCTTTTGGTGGAATAACAATGGAAGGGCTGCACGTCATACACGAAAGGGGTTAATATATGGAGCAGCAACGCAACCTCTCATTTTCACTTGATTTATCAGACAATGTGTAAAATCTTAGTTACTGTACCTTTTAAAGACAACAAGAAGAGTTGTTTTGTTGATGTTTGTGTCCTTCATATTATTCAGTCTCCTTTATGGAGAGTCATTTCTTCTCCTGCTGCTCCTCCTCTCCCCCTCCCCCTCTCTGCCTGCCTCTCTCTCAGTTTGACATCACAGGTGTTTATATTTAGCCAGCAGATGGAGTCTCCCATGGCAGGCTGCTCGCTCCCTTGACTTAGGCCTACTGCCGGCCACCTAAATGAGCTAGAAGCAATTCCTTGCTTAAACCATCTCTTCTGATCTACCCGATCATCCGTTTGTGACTGCATCTATTATTCATATGTTCCCCTCAGCCAGACACATGCTTTCATGCACACACAGTAAAACACTGCTGCGACTAAATGTGTTGTCATAGCCCCCATGTTCAGGTCCGTACTAACGAGAGTTCCCAGCCTCACATTCATGGGAGTCCATTATCTGAAAACAAATACAAAACATCTACTGTATCTAATAATAATAATAAAAGCATAATATTCTCTGTATTTTGAAATCTTTGTTATAATTGTAATTCATGTGCACACAATGATTTGATAAAGCAGCATTTACCCCAAAATTGCTGTGACAGGATGAATGTCTGGAGGTATTTATAGCATGCATAAAAACAAATTCAAAGGAAATGGTGGTAAGAAGATCTAGAAACGGGTACCGTGAGCAAGCCTGCTGTGAAATTTGACAGGTGTAACATGCAGTAGATCTTGTGTGATGTGATTTCTACTGTGGTTATATGTGTGTGGAGTAGAGTATATGGAAATTTATTATATCTGGATAAACCCCTTGAGATGTAACCTTCTCAATTTCAGGGGATCCCAAAACAAACACTCAAGAACAGAAAAAGCGTGATGCTTGTGGGGTCCTCTGGCCTAAGATGTAACTGCTGGGCATAGTTTAGCACACACTACACCGCCACAACATGCCTTGGGTGACCCTGAGCAGGCACCCAGCCAATCAGAGTGAAACTTTAGACATCCCTGTGAATGGCGACCCACAGGCGTACACACTTAGCTGAGTATCTGCAGCATGTGACAGGTGAGATGCGTGCTGGCTATGTATTCAACTGAGTACTGAAGGAGTTTGGATGATGGTGATTGTGAGTGTAGAGTAGACAGAGTTTCAGTCAAGCAGCCTGTACATTGTTATACATGCTTATTTAACTTTTTACTGTTTACCAGCTTGCAGCCAACAGGAATTCATGTAATGTTTTGTGATACAAACTTGAACTTCGAAATATAAACATCTTTACATGAATGCTTTGCACACAAACTAGATTATGTGGCAATCTTAACATACTGTATATGGAAAATACACAGTTGTTTCCAAGTGAAGGTTAGGAAAGAAATTGGTTAAAGTTAGGATTATCATGAGATTAGGTTAAGTGTATTAAATGGACTACAAAAATCACTTGGTCATGGTTTATTAAAAACTAAGTTGTAGCAAAAACAAATAAATAACTTGGTTTAAGCTAAGTTATGCCATTTGCTGATCTTAACTTGATGGCTTTTTGGCTCTGAGGGTGACACACAAACCTGTACTTAAAGGGAAATCCACTCATTCTCTTCTTCTGCCAGGAGGATGGGAAAGGATGAGTGCCTGCTTGTGTCAAATGAAGAGTGAGTGAATGACTGGAGAGGAACATCTACACGCAGTGACTGTGCTAAGCAAAACATGTCAATGAACTGTCATGCAACTCTGCTCACTGTCAGACGCAAGAAGCAACAATGAAAGGCCTGCATGAAAACAACAGTCTCTGCCCTGTTGAACTGTTAAATTAAAGAGCCATATGGGCAAAATGGCACAGCTGATTAGTTACATTTTGTCATTATCTGACACTAGGACACTTAAATTCATTCAAACACGCATATTCAAAATATAGCAGATAGACACCATCATGGCATGATGACTGCAGTCGCAGGTTGTCCTTTACCCCTTAGATATTATAGCTTGTCATGTGTGTGGATATGCATGACCTCAGGAGTACAGAAGCTAGAGCCTTAAGAAATAAGTTTGCCAATGGCCAACAAAGTTAAATACAACTACAGGCTACTTTCTTGTTTTTATATTTAATTTGCTCCACTTCCTTACACTGTTTTTTTTTTTTTTCTTCCAGGAAGCTCAGAAGGTGAACAACCCCGCCAACAATCAGGCAGCAGACAGGACAGCAAAGAATCCTGATGAGAAAGAGGAGGCACCAGCCAGCGAGGTTGGATGGATGACTTCAGTCAAAGACTGGGCTGGAGTCATGATCTCCGCTCAGACGCTCACTGGCAGAGTTCTGGTAGGTTTCATTTCTTCTACTGGATATAAATATGTTAGACACCATCAGTCCCTGCTCCATTAGCACTGTTTTGACACTAATCATTTGCCCAACCCGCAGTTAGATAAGTGCAGCAGTTTGGTCGTTCCTCAGGCAAACAGGCATCCGTTGCTTTTCACACCCAACTTGGCTGTCACATTAATCCACTGTATAATCCACTGCCATGTACACATTTACTCACCTGTTTTACACAGGTCCCACTGGAGACATAGTGTAGGGCAATTAATTTGATCCTACAGAAGTGAGCGGACAATCATTCTTTTCAGAACCTCAGCCGGTTATTTGACTGGCACTGTTCAACCTTTTGTGTGCTGCAGTGGCCTGTGTGGCACGCTGTAACTCACTCTGTTGTGCCTCTGCCAGTTGAAACGATGTGTGTGTTTGTGTTGGTGTGCATGCACATAATTGTGTGTGTGCGTGTGTGTGTGTGTGTGTGTGTGTGTGTGTGTAAGGGAGAGATTTATTTGTCAAGAATGAGAGGTAGAACATGTTGAGTGTGTGCAGTAGGTAAAAGACTGCCTCTGTGGCTTTTCCCATGGTGTGAATTACAGCTCCTCTCCCCTACTGACCCTCCTCTCTTGAGCTCCATCCCTCACTCTGCCCCCACAATTTCTCCTAAACTCTACAAGTCTTACAAGTCTGCCAGAACCTGATGTATCTGCAGTGGTCTAAATCACATATACTGTGTGATGCTATGCCGTCTGGTCCCATATTGCATGATCGGTTTCATATTTGTGGTTTGTAGTGTCTTGTAACTTGGATAACTTCAAGGATAGACTGGCCCTAGGAAGTGTTCAGACCCCTTCACCTTTTGCACACTATGTTGCAGACATTTCTGTAAGGCTTTCTGAAACTACTGTATAAACAGCAGAAACACAGCTTTGAAGACAGTTTGAAGTGGTAGAAATACACTGCAAACATTCAGTCAGTCTGATAAGTGTTTCCTCTGCCTTGTGCTGCTTCATGCAGCTGCGCCATTTGAGTAAAAAATATATTATTAAAATTAAAAACTGCCTTCCCATCACTAGCATTTCTCATGTGCTCCTCCTCTCAGCTGAGCAAGATGTCTGCCACCTTGCTCCAGTGAGTGACAGAGAGTAAGCTGTGAGTAGCATGCTGCCTATAACTGCTAGCCTCATTCTTTTTAGCTGTCTGGATTACCAAATTATCTATTCTTAGTTCTGTCTTGTCTACCTTTCCTTTCACATCTTGATTTGCATCAGAAGATTATCACTAGTATGTCTTGCAGAGACCATCCACTCTGCATCTGTGGTCTGAACAAAGCAATGGTGGGAGTCAGGAGAGAGATGGGTCCAAACTAAAATGCTAATACTCTCATTGTTAATATTTGTTGGAATGTGAACGTTTCTTCATGCCTGGTGAGAATAGCTGGAAGTTGAGGAGGATTCAGGCCTTTTGTGGTGAAGAAGATGATGAATCCTGAAGGGAGCTTTCAGTTTACTAAATGAACCTCTCTTTCATCACTTTCCCACTCACACAGCTCTGCTGGCCTGGACACAGCTCCCTCCTGTTTTCATCCTCTGCTCTGACAGAGCACTCACAAGCTGCCCCAAGTGTGTGTGTGTGTGTGTGTATGAGAGAGAGAGAGAGAGAGAGAGAGACACCAACACCGACAGACGGGCAGATGGAAAGTGAACCTGAGAGTCAGTGAGAAATAAAGCACTGGTAGCTTTAAGCGAGGTCCTAGTCACAGAGGTATCCCGGTGTATCACCTCCTGCGATTTGTGCTACTTCTGGTAGAGCTGATCATTCTGCCCAGCAGGCTGTGTTTGCTCATGTGCTCAGTCAGATGATATACAGCACAATATGTACTGATGAGCCCTCAGTGTAGATCAATGAGTATCTTTTCATGTGGGTGGAATGTGTACATTTGTGGATGCACATATATACTGTCATTTCTCCACATATGCAGCGCATGTGTGATAGCTTTTTGTGTCTAAGTATGCTCATGTGTATGTGGGGGTGGGTGAATCTGTGGGACTTGTGCTCTCCCATCAGCGCTTCACTGCAGATCAAAATTGTGTTCAATATCCATGTACACAGAACCTGGCTGGTAACCATAGCAACTGCTGTGTAGTGGTGTTCAGTCATCTGAAATGGGGGGGGGGGGTCTGCCCGGGCACAGCAGAGCAGAAATAACACACGCACAGGTAGGATTAAAACTTGATGCAGGCTCCATTCTACCCAGGTGAAAGAGTCAAACCTAAAGCAGACAGAGAGAGAGAGAGAGAGCGCCTCTGGTCTGCAGAAAGACAGACCTCTCCATCCCCATTCATTTGTTTGCCTTGATGACTTCACTGCTAGAGAAAGATCAAGTATACCCCCAGGCTTGTTGAATTACCAGACAAACCTAAATCCACCCATAGCAGCAGGTTGGGCCAGGAGTCCCCCTATATTGTTTCCCCATGCTGGGTCAAATTACTGGCGTGAGAATGATGAGGCCTGTTTTATTATTGGTGCCTAATGTGACTTTGCCAAACGTCTTTGCTCTGATGAGAAAGGAATTAAATGAACACATATCCACCCACAGTGCAAAGCCATTAGGAGCAGACGTGCTGCATGAGAAACAGATCATTCTGATCATTAGTGACCTGAAGGAGAAGATCCATTTGTTGCAACAGCAGATAACCATAAACAAAGACCAGCAGATGTCAGGTGCACATGGGCACTTGTATGCATGTGTGTATGTCTGTATGTGAGATTGTATGTCTTTGTACCTGTGATTTCACAGCATAAAGGTGCTGATAATGGTCCCCTTTCTTTGTGTGATCATAGCCTCAATAATCAACACGAGCCCTTCCCAGCCACCATCACACAAAAAGTCTTATATCCACTTTGGATTAGACTCTGTGTCACCTTATGTGCCTTTAAAAAAAATACCAGTGGGAATGACTGATGCTAGCACCATCCAGTGTTGCTCCTCTGTGTGGGTCCTCACCTCTATAATATCACTGTCATCAAATATTTATCACCTCAACCACACATAACCTGCCTCCAGTGTAGTTTTCAGCTGACACAAAGCTCGAGGTTAAAGAGAAAAACATGACAAGTGATGAACTTAAATTGAACATGATCATTTGCTGGTAATACAGCAAAATGAAAGGGGAAGAAAAACACACATTGTAACAGTAAGTTCCAGATGTTTGAAAATGGTTTTTAAAAAGCTGTCTGCAGATTGACTGATACTGTATGTATCAGTACTGTATACTATACTGTCTGGACTTCTGCAGAGCAGTAAGCGATGTGTATGTGCCATCTGCAGTTTAAGCCCTCAAGACAGCTGTCCACACAATAGCAGTGCATATAAAGCAAACCTGTAGGTGAAAGGCAGAGCACATCTGGTGTGGCACCGGATGGCTCATTGCTCTCTTGACAATCGTATCACTCCAGTTGCTTTGTAGGAAGTCCTCACTGAGCATTCAAAGGCACAGTGTCCGAGGGAATGGCTAGTTGGACAGATGGAAATACGAGTCGACTGAATTTTTGGCTTGCATTATCACAGCATCTCATCTAACTGATTCCTGCAATGATGCTATGGTAACAACATATGGAATCTCATAGTTTCCAATGAAAGGATTAGAACCCCTGAATGTAGATATTCGCACTATCTCTCTGTGCAGTGGATTTGCACGACATGGTGGACCCAGAAATAGGTCAGCCCTGGCATCTTTCTTAATGGGATCTTGGGTGGCAACCAGGGACCATCTGTTCTCATGGTCCGCTCCCTAAACCCTATGGTCATCCCTCTGCCTCCCCATCCAACCACACTCTGCATATTGACCCCTATCGTCTGAAAATACAGCACAGATGTCTCTCTCGGCAGTAGAGTGACAGCACATGCATTCTCACTGCAACCATAACAAAATCTGGCATTTTTCCTCATCCAACCCCATTTTTCTAAACCAGATTTTGCAGTAGAGCCTCTGACAGGAGACCCACCTCTCTTTGTCACACTTTCTCTACTGGTTTACTTTTTACCTCTAATTACCTCTTTCTTATCTCGTTTTCTACATTCTTTATCTGTGGGAACAGTTGCTTAGTGTGTGTGTGTGTGTGTGTGTGTGTGTGTGTGCGCGCGCGCAGAGTGTGTAAGGACCCTGTGGGTATGTTCCATTATGTTTCCATGTGTCCCCAAACTTCCAGTTGTGAATAAAACAAGTGTGAAAGTGTTTGCTTGCACTCCCCATGATTGGCTTCCTTCCTTCATGGAGAACAACTGTCATTCACAATGTTCTACTTTCCAGACTGGCATTATTTATGTTAGTGCAGTATATATTTACCTCTGCATATAAGTACATTTGTGTAATGGCAGTCCTTTAGGCTTATAGAAGCATATTTGTGTTTTCTACAACAGCTGTTGGAGACTGCCAAAGTCTGTTTGCATCCTCGTGTTTACCCGTGAATGTACTGTATGTGCGTCTGATGCATATTTGCCTATGTAGTTACAATGCGTTTTCTCCTGCTCTGTGTGTGCAAGTGGATGTGTAAATGCATGTCTGTGTGCGTCTGTTTGGGCTGGCTAATTACGCTTTCCCGTTGAGCGTGTGGAACTAATTTATTTCTGTCAGTAAACTCCCCAGCATGAATGCAGCTGTCAACACAGCACCATATCCTGCTTCATGCTCCTCTGTGACAATAGCCTCATGCCTTTACATAAAACTAACAAGTAGCATATGTTCATACAGTATGCATTCAGCAAGATAATGTACTGTATGTTTATTATATTGCATGTTTGAAAGCAGCATTATGTTATAACATGATGTTTTTCCATCTAGGTGCAACAGCATGTTTAACTGCTTGAAAGGCTCAATGAGAAATCTTTATAACAAATACATCCACCCACACATGTACAGGCACATTCTGCAAGTTCATCCTATACTAGGTCTGGGCAAAAATAATGACATCATTATCATAATATTAAGTATGATGTTTGTTTTTTT